CCGCCCGCACAGGCCTCCGCTCACGTGGCGTTTCCCCTCTGGAATCTTCAAGTCGCGTTGCTCTCTTCGCCACACTGCCCTCCGGCAGTGCCCAAGTCACTCGCTCTGAGCCCCCCCTTCCGGGGGATTGGTGTCTCTCCAGCCGGCCTGTCCGCAGGCCTAGCAGGCTGGCCAGTTGGCCGTCCAAGCGTCCTGGCCCAGCCTGTCTCTCTAGCCCTGCCCTAGCTCCAGAGAGCGTCCTGTTCCCTCGGCAGCCAGGCTCACACTGCCTGGGCTGAAGCAGCCCCGCCCTTTTATAGCCCCCAGCTGGGCCTTAATTGGCCAATGCCGCCCAGCTGGGCTGAACTCCCCGGGCCTGCTCCGGGCTGGGGTTTGGCTCTTAAGGGGCCAGTACAGGGCAGCTGCCCTGTTACACTTGCAAATGGAATACATTTGATATGCAAGTCAATGAGACACGCCTCAGACTATTTTCTTCTTTGTGCTACTATGGGTATTTCATTCTGTTGGTGGTGGAGGCTCAGGCAACCCTCTCTGGTTTACAGCTTTTCTAAGGGAAATTCCAAACTTTTAAAATAGTTTAAATAACAATTCAGTTCAGTAACATGTCTGTCTGATTCCCAGCTGCATCCAAAGGCTGTGCTTGATTTTTGAGGAGAGACTGTCTTCTGAACTTTGCTTCCTCTTCTGAAGCATGAGTGCTGGCTGCTGCCCCTTCAAGCTTCAGAGAAAAAAATAGAGGGAAAAGGAAGGGTCTGTGGTTGCTGCTCTCTACTCCCCTTCTGAGTTCATCTTCAGTTTGGGGGCTGGGGACTTGTCCAGCTCTGTGGGCAGGATGCAGTTGTCCTTATATCCCAGACCAGGCAAGAAAGGAGCCAGGTAGGATTGGAAAATTACATGTTCCAAGGTAGGGTTGCCATGTTTCTGATTGTAAAAAAAAATTTATCCCTGCAGCAGCCCTTCTCTGAGGCTCTGCTGTCCTGCTCAATTAACCTGGTATCACTCCTGAAGACAAACATGACTATTTTCCCTGGTTGTTAGGGGTTTGGGCATTTCTAATAAGTATCAGATTTTTACTTGAAAGAATAGACTTGTTACTATACAGGCCCCTCACAGGTGGCCAAGTCTAGGCAAGCTCGGTCTCTGCCCTATCTTTTAGGCATGAAAGCCTCAGGCCAATACAAACAAATCACCCAACCAAAATAAAAAGTTGTCTGACACTCTACGTGCCCTGGCAGACTTTCACAAGCAATGCTAAAATTAATAGGAGATTGCAAGTATGGACACTCTCAACTTAAAAAAAAAATCGCATGATCTAAAGCAGTGGTTCTCAAACTTTTTTTTGTGGACCATTTGAATATTGCTTATAGGCTCAGCAGACCACTTAACGATCCCTGAAAATGTTGTTTGCATTGTTAGCTAACTCTTTTAAAGCATTTGGGTTAAAAGTGCTATATAAAAAAAACAACCCTTACTATTAATTTTTTACTCTACCAAAAAAGCATACAACTTAGAGTTTAATATTCATTACCTTTCTAATCAATGAACATGCCTGTTTTTGTGAGCAATTTCAGGGATGTCAGGTGTAATGTTAGTCAGCTTTAGCCTTAAGTCAGGTTCAGCATTCATCCTGCCTCTGTATTTAAACTTCGGGGTGGGAAGTGATGAAAATCCTGACTCTTACATAGATACATAGGGAGCCCATATAATTGCCAGGTCCCTAGGCAAGGTGGGGGGGGAGTTGGCTCTGCACTCTTGAAATTGGCAGGGCTTCTGACAGAAGGGGCAGGGCTGGAGACAGCCAGCCCTCAGCAGAGTCTAGAGCATGCTGCACTAGTCCCCCCACTCCCTAGACAGCCCTGAGAGCTGCCCTAGGCATGTGGCATGGCACTCCAGCAGCTATTTAGAGGGCTCAGGATCCCAGCCATTCATGTGGTAGTGGCAGAGTGGCCAGGAGCCCTGGGCCCTTTCAAATTACTGGGCCCTGGGCAACTGCCCCCTTCCTCCTCCTCTCAATAGTGGGCCTGTATGTAGTAGCAAATGGCATCAGAAAATGCCCTGCTTTATCTGCAAATTCTGAGAACTCTCCAGTTCTTTGAATCCAAAACTCAACTGGGGAACATCTTTTAAATTCTGACTAATGTTTTGTCACAAGAAAACTCCAATAAGCACTCTTGTGCCTTATTTTACAAACCCTGATTGCAATTCCAAAAGTATCACATATCCAGTTGTTGGTTTAGCTTCTACAGAAAAGTAGTCTTCAAACTGATGCTTAAGAGAAACAAGATATTTTCAGTGTCATTTTTTGTCAAGAGGTAGTTCATTTCCAGGCAGAAAATGTTCCAATATTGGAACCTTAGAGGGAACTGTCTGCAGACCACCTGAATGGAGCTTATGGACCACCAGCGGTTTACGAACCAGTTTGAGAACCCCTGATCTAAACGCTTCTCTCTGGAAAGAAGGTGGAGGAAAAAAGTGGTGAAATCTATTCCATGGAGGTATATGATGAGGCTTTGTTACTTGGGATCAGATGCTCAGTCCCAGATGCTCAGTCCCTAGCTATTTTAGTGATAGAATGTGAAGTTTTATGGAAAGCTCATACTATTCAGAGTCATTAAAAAGTTGACTTGCAATCCTGACTCCTGTCAGATGCTATAGAAAAGAGTGCAGATCATATGGCAAGTTGAAGTATTTTGGGAAGTTCAAGAGAGGTGTTAGCTAGAAATAGTTCCACTGACTCACAGCTGTCTACAGGTTTTCCAATCAGTTATATCTGGAGTTAAAAACCTGAATTATTCTATACTCTTTCAATTTGAGACCAAAAGGACTTCTTATAGCTTTGACCAAGCAAGGACAGTGGATGTTGTCCAGAGGAGATGCCCTGCAGTATGTAAGAATTTCAGTTTTGTCCCACCCCAGTTTCTGCAACCTAAGAAAAAGCCATGACATGAATCTGAGTAGACATCATTACTTCATGTCAGAGCATTAGAACCCACTCCATGTTCTATTTCTAGCTTCAGAGAAGCTGGGACAAGCAGAGCAGGTCTGAAATAGATAAGTTTCTAAAGGAGCTTGTCCTCAAAGAATATCCATCTTACTATCCTCAATCAACAGAACCATTTGGCTTCTCATCAAGATTATGATAGATAAAATATTGGCTTTAGAGAAGGAAATTCTTTTACCTTGTTGCGGACAAATTTTCTCATCAGTGCTCTGTACGGAACGATGAAGGAGAAACACAGGGTGATGGTAGTTCCTGGAGTATCTTGGATTCAGGACAAACAGTTACACAGTGCCAGAGAAATCAGTCACAGCTCTGTGCTAAGAGTCATATTATCAAGTGCAAGGTCTTTTCTCAGAAGAATGTTAACTGGAGATGAAGATAGCTACAATGGAAAAGAAATTATGTCCAAAAAATCCAGTTCTTATAAGAGGCTAGTGGGAGTTCTGATGCGATACAGAGCTTCAAGGAACCAAAGTTCAGATAACTCAGAGTGTTAAGATGGCTTTTCCAGCAGCTTTTGGGATGTCTAGGGAATGTCTCTGTGGCTGCTGAGGAAGGTCTTCTGCAGCAGAAGACAAGAAGAGGGTGACAGGAGTTAATTTTTGGCTTGGCTTATAAATCACGGGATCAATATGCCTATTTTGAGGACTTTACTGTTAAATCACAATGTTTCTTTCACTGAGGAACCAAATGAGTGAATGACTGAAGGGGAAAAATGAAAATTTTATGAAATGCTGGTGTGACGGGGTAAGGTCACAGAAGACACCTAGGGGGTACCTCCCAAAGTGTGGACAAGGCCACTGACACTCATCTTCTTGCTCTCTAGGGCTCCTCACCTCCCTGTCCTGATGGGCCAGCTCTCTGGTCTCTTCCAGCCAAGACACGGAGCTGAGATCACTTCCCCCCTTAGAAGCAGTACAGACACTGAAACTCTTCAGTTCCAAGGAAAGTGCAGTTTAGGGCCTAGCTTCGTGGGATACCACTCCCCAAATGGGATCAAACCCAATGAATTATTTGGGTAAGCCTCCTTTCACAATGAAAGGGGGAATGGACACAATGATTGCTCCCCCAGGTAATAATTATTTACACTGGGCTTAAGAGTACGTAAAAATGATTTTAAGTGCAAGCTGCAGGATTTAAGTGGTTATAAGTGGGAACAGGCAGAGCAAAGTAGATTACAAACTCAAAATAACAGAAAGCGCTTAGCTAACTGTAACACCGAAACCTCAGTACACAAACTCTTTACAAACTCGCCCTAAAACTGTCTCTTTTCCAACAAACCAGGGCAGTCCCTCATTCTGGGGTCTTTGGTTCCTTCCCTTGGGTGTGCCAGCCAAAGACAAAAGACCCCCAATTTTTTATTGTTTGTAAAGATTCCCTTTTTTCATGGGAACTCACTTGGCCGGTTGGGGTGGGCATGTGACTTCTCCAGACCAATCACTGCTAAGAATTAAAAGACAGAAGAGATTGTTTAACAGTTGGTCATCAAGACATTGAAGGTAATCCTTGTGGTTGCTTTCAGTCACACATTTAAAAACCATAAAACACTCCATACTCCACACAAGTATGATACATACACCAAGATAACAGATCCAGTGGATTATGACATGAAGATTGATAGTTACATGAATAAATTTGTCCAAAGCATCCTTGAGTTACATGCACTTGTGTCCATAAGTCCACTTCATAAAGCATGGACAGGGGGTCCATCACAGCTGGGTCCTTGATTCTGGTCTTGGAGCTGTATCCTCAGAAAGTAGAACAATATGTGTACTTGAGAATTACCATCAACCACTCAAAAAGTGGAGTTTTGGCAAGGTAGTAATATTTTAACAGTATACTTAATATGCCTGTATTCAAAGATTCAGAAAGACTCAAAAAGTGATATGACTTGACTAAATGCAGGTGGTGTATTCTCTTCAGATGAAAGTCAGCAGAGTACGTGATATGTGAGCTAGCTGACATATATACATATATATGTAAAATATAATCGAGATATATGACAGCTAGCTCATAACTACAAATACCGAATCTAGCACTAGTACTCAGGGTCATAATTTGGATACATGACTAACTGGAGGTTGTGAGTTGATAGTTAGTGCATTTTTGCCATTTAGCAAAGACATTAGAAACCACCACTCAATATATTTATGGATTATAAATGTTTTAGGTGAAATGTTAGCTCAGACTTTAAAACCTTGTGCCAAGTAAATGTGTTCCTCTTTGGATACTTCATTATTTAAAAAAATATATATCATCCATGTTTATCCTATCTGTTGCTGTTTTTTGAAGACCATCAGTATCTGAAATCTATTACTGGAACCCTAAGTTGAAAACACAGCCCTCCCATTGCCTTATTTCCGTATCTGAACGGATTCTCCATACACACTCTCCTTTTCTCCATGCAGAAGCAGGGATCAGATGCTTCTGTGGTACACTCCTTCCTCAGACATGTGTGGTTTGGGGCCCACATAGAGTGGAGATGTGGAGTAAGGGTGGCCCAGAGAGAAGTAGGCAGGTTGGGTGCACTCTAGTTGAGGTGCACAGTAACCACAGCAAGGTGGAATGTGTTGCTGGTACCCACAGCAGAGGCTCTTCTAGGTTTGAAGCAGCTTTCCACAGGTAACAACCACCACTTCTCCCTTCGATTTGAACAGTGTCTATAATGGAGCCTTCACATAAATTTTGAAGTAAAAATTCTCCTCCTGTGGCTTTTTATCTGGCCCAAGATTTGTGTGTGTAGGAGGAGAGAGGGCTAGGTCTAAACTGCAATGTTAAATCAGAAAAAAATACGTAATTTGTATATCGCAAATTGCACATCTTTTTCCGATTTACTTTCAAAAGAGGATATTCTGAAATTTGGCACATCTACATGGCACCTAATTTTGAAAAAAAAGTGCTCTTTGGACACATCCCTTATTCCTCATAGAACAAGGTTTACAAAGATGGTGAAAGAGCGCGTCCGCTTTTTTGACATTTTTTTTTTAAAAGTGGGCGCATTCCTTGGACATGTCTAGACGTAATCTCTGTGTGTGATGTGTTGAGGTAATGGACAGAGAAGTTTCTGACAGGAGGAAAGTAAACATTTAGTTATAATCCTAATATAAACTGTTCACTACTTTTTAAATTCACCAAATCTGTATCTTACGTTATGTACAGGTGTCAGAAAAAAGTGTGTAATGTGACTTAATGTATTTTATGAACTCCCTATTATTCTAAGATCAAATGAAATATTTTTACAGCAGACGTTATCTTATATAGCAGGTAAGTCATGGGGGAACATTTTCTTTTCAAAATAAGGATGTAGAAATATGATTTTCTCTGAATTATCTGTAGAAATGTAATTTAAGACTTTGTCTATTGTTTTTTAAAAGACTGTTGTTTTAAAAAAGTTAATGAAGAATGCAAATATTTAAACTGATTTTTCTTTCTTTTTCAGACTTTTATAGTATTGAATAGAGGGAAGGCAATCTTCCGATTCAGTGCCACCTCTGCCCTATACATTTTAACTCCTTTCAATCCTCTTAGAAAAATAGCTATTAAAATTTTGGTACATTCATATCCTTTTCAAGTGGTTGGTTCAAAAATGTTAGTTTTGAGTGACCTAATGAAGAAGCCTAATGTTTGTTTGTTTGCAATACTGATCATGTTATAGCACTTTTCATTCACAGCAGTTACCATTAACTTCAGTTGTAATTATGAATGCTTAGCACTTCTGCAAATCAGTTGCTATGTGTTTCATGTTCAGTACCCAGGAAATATGGAACACACAGTGATACCTGTGACATTTTTGGTTTGTGAGAATCACATAGAAACCCTGTGGCTGAGGCAAAGACAGAAGCCAGTTCTCTAGCAGATTATTCAGGGTCTTCAGACAAAAGATCATTCTGCAGTTGTGCTTTGGGAATAAATCAGGGCTCCTGCCTCCTCTCGTGCATAAATTGTAATGTACATGATCCTACAGACAACAGCCTCATACACTGCAAGGTCCTCCTTCATTCCCAGAGCACAATCTGTCCTGTGCATCAAAGGAGTTGCACGAGCAACCTTGGTTCTGGCATTATCTAATTTTCGAATGCCTGACTTTTTAATGTGATCTCTGATATGTTCATATAGCTTATGTATAATACATAAATGCCATTCAGACCATTTTATTTATTTTAAAATCAGTTTTGTATTACTAATGTGATGAAAATAGAAATTAAGTATTCCACTGATATGGGGGTTCTAAATATTGCTTAAAAAAATCATTCTGTACATAAAAGGGAACATATACTTTCCACTAATCATACTGGTACTTTGTTATCAGCCCCATACTATGAATTAAAACCTGGGGTCTAGCATTCACAAGCCCTTTGAAACTACCACAGAGATTCCTTCCACAAAAAAGATGTCTGGGGGGTTCCCTAAGCATGTTAACTAGAATTCCTTGCATATGACTGTACAGTGTGTGGGAAGGGCATTCAAGTGTTAGTTATATTTGGTATTTTGAGTTACAGAATAACAGTTATGCTATACCAAGTTGTTTCATAATAGGTCCTTCAAAATTAATTAAGTAAGCCAGTTAATAATGTTTTCAGTGTTTTTACAGGAAGTTATCCGTGTATCCCTTACTGATGATAACTGAACAGCTAAGTTGCTCTGCATGTCTTACATGTTTACTCTGAAGGCATGGTCAATCTTTACTGATTTTGATCACTTCAGGGAAAATGAACTGTAACTACAAACATCAGTATCAATATGCACATCAATCTAATGTGTTGTCACTACTTTTCATATTCGTCTTTGAAGCTTCAGAGGGATTTTAGTCTGTGTTCAGAGTTGAAAACAAAAGCAAAAAACAAAAACAAAAGAAAAACAAAAAAGCCCCAAACACCCCAAAAAACAAAAAGCATGCTGCCTTGTTTCATTGTAAATTGCAACTCCTATTTGGACTTTTTGGATACATATGTATCTGTAAAGTGCTTTTATACTTAGATACATCTGTTTGTATCATTAGCTTAGGGTGACCAGAGAGTAAGTGTGAAAAATAGGGACACTTTGGGGATGAGGGGATACAAGGGAGATAAAGGATATAGTTGTCTAAAATAGAGCTGTATAAGATAGAGCCCCAAATATCAGGGTGATTTTGATAATATTGGATGTGTGGTCATCCTACATTAGCTCCTTTGATGAACTGTTTTGAAGGAGCACATCTTTTATAAAAGGTGAATATAGGTAAAACATTTTCCAGAGTAAGCTTGGCATTTCATAGTTTATGATGCCATTATGAGGCAATTATGCATCACTTTCTGGTTTGTTGTTTATTTTAGTCTTTCACTTATTGTTAAACACTTGGATAAATGTGCTAAATGTTCAGTGTCACTGAAATGAAAACTTGTAACACTGCATAAACTCAGTAACTCTGCAGACACTTGTTGCCTCAGTCAAATCTTCTGTCTTTTTGAAACATTGCTGAGCATGTTGTATTGAATTGGCTACTCAGGTTTCCTTAATCCCAATCAGTTTGAGTTGTAGGTCTTGGTATAGTAGGGATGCTATACTAGTTGTTCTGGTTGACGATTGGGATGAAGATCAGGTTACCATGCTGATTCATGCTAATCTTTTAGTGGATTTCCTTGCCATGAGATGGTATTGAACTATACATAGATAGAATAAGACATCTTTCCATAGCAGTTCTTTCCTGCTGGCTCCTGATGGCTGTCTTTCTGAGAAGTCACAAAGAAAAATATTGGACATTTGTTCATGCTCTCTTTTTCTCTTGGAATTCCATGGGAAGTCATATTCCCCTATGTATTCTTTCTCTGTCAGGGTTCAACCAGCTGACATTCTGCTATCCTCCTCTAGTTGTAGTTCAAAACTGAATGCTAGGATAGTTGGTGAGGAAACATAAATATAATGTCTTAATCAAATGGGTAACAGTGCTGTGATTATGCTTATTTGATTGGGGAAGCAAATGGAATATTTGCCAAATGAGTAAACAAATGAAGTTTATTCACCATATATTACTTAGATTTGCTACTGAGATTTTATTGTATCCCCAACTGCTTCTAGTAGCAGCAGTAACTAAATACCTTGTTTTTAATTTGTGCTCAGTGAGAATATCGAGACTTTTCTTTTGACTGTGAGCCTTGGCACAGTTATCAGTAGTTCTAGGTTTCTTAGAAACAGTATTCTTAAGCACCACTATGACAGTTCAGAACAGGGGAGATGCACAAGCTGATAGCCTCTTGATTTCATCATAAAGGAGCTTCAGGTATTTTCTCTTCATGAGGAATCTTCAACTTTTGAACTTGCTTCCTTCCTGCATTCATGAGATGTCATGCCATTACAGTACGCACTTAAAAATAAAACAAAACTCGCCTCCTCCTTATTTCATTTTAGTTTGTCATACAAACAATATAATTGATTGGGTATTTGAGTGCTGACTTTTTTGCTTTTCAGTACACAGCAAAAGCTAAGAAAATATTTAGAGAACTTTCAGGACTTACCCACAGTATCATCAAAATGAAAAAATCTAATTAAGTTTTATTTCCTAATGAGAGAACTCTTGGGTTGATAGTGTATTAAAATGTATCTAGTATTTTCACTTAAATCGATGGGATTTTTGTGTGTGCCAGTATGTGGTTGAAATTAAAACGTGTTATTAATGTGCTATTCTGTAATTTCTTGTTGTGTGTTCCTTGACTGTAACATACATTGTTCAGCATGCTTATTATGTGCACTATTTTGACCAACTGTGTGTTTATGACCATGAGTAACCCTCCAGATTGGACAAAGAATGTAGAGTAAGTTAAATCTATATTCTTTATTTATATATATCCATATATCTGAAACGAAATTTTCTAGGAATCATTATTTCATTTGCAGTGAAGGACATTGACACTAGTCAGCAGATGACATTACTACTGTTTTTTTCTCTAAACAAAACTATTTTAAGTAGTTTAAATGTTCCCCTCATAGAAAATTTTGAGTAAAGAAAAAGATGAGGCAAATGTTCATGGATTACATTGCTCTTCAGCGTTACATGAAGCTTTTTCCTCATCTTCCTAAAGTAGCATGTTGATAGTACTTTTATGCCTTCTGGCCAATGCTGTTGATTTGATTATACTACTATATTAGAAGGAAAACAATATCCACCAAGTCATAGATTCCAACGTAGGAAAACATATGCCGTATATATTCATTCATAAGCTAAATTTTTTGGTAAGAAGTGACACATCAAAGAGAAGGGTTGGCTTATTAATGAGTCTATATCGTTGTTGTAGATCAGGGATTGGCAAACTTCATTTTCCAGCTCATCGGGGTAGCCGCTAGTGCACCAGGACATGTTGTGTGCTGGGAGTGTCCTTGGGCAAAGAGCCTCTCAGCTCCTTGTGGCTGCAGATTGTCCTTTGCAGAGTGGCAGGAAGTGGCAGCCAGCATGCCCCTCAGCCTGTGCTGCTTCTTGCAGCTCTCCTTGGTCAGGAACAGGAAATTGCAGCCACTGGGAGCTGAGGGGCTCTGTGCCTGCAGATGCTCCAAGTACACAAAACGTCCTGGTATGCCAGCAACTTATCTTGATGGGCTGGGAACCAAAGTTTGCCAACTGCTGAAGTATAGCATTGGCTTATGAAATGGCCATAGCATTTTGCAATTTTTACTAATTCATCTTAGGGGGGCGCGGCTTATAAATGAATGGGTTAATGAATGAGTATATGTGTTAAGTAGCCCTATTGAAATGAGACTTCAACCACAGGCTATTCTTCAATGTTAATACTAGGGGTTTTAGACCCAGGGATTATAAAATAACTTAATCTTATAGTGTTGTTGGACAACAGTAATGGATCAAGTGGGTCTTAGTTATAATTTCATCTTTTATAGAATTTTATTGTAAAATATATTATTTAATTTCTTTAGCTTTATACAGTTGCTAATAAATAACACCTACTTGGGCACTCTTGTCACTTTTGACATAAGTCAAAAGTATATTTCAAATAATGTACTAGAATATAAGGATACTTATAATAGTGAATAATTTATTTTAATACATCGTATTTATTTATTCTAGTCTCAATTTTTTAAATTACCTGAATTTTTAATTTGATTCCTAATAGACTTTTAGCAATAAGAAAATAAAAGTGTCATAAAGAAATGGTATTTGTCTCTAAGTTTTTGGTTACTTTTTCCAGGTATACCTTCACTGGAATATACACATTTGAATCACTTATAAAAATTTTTGCAAGGGGCTTCTGTTTAGAAGGTTTTACTTTCCTTCGAGACCCATGGAACTGGCTTGATTTCACTGTCATTACATTTGCGTAAGTTTTGTTTTTTGTTTTTGATAGAAGAGCATAAAAGGTCATGAAATTAATGCCGGTAAAAACCAAAAACAACAACAAAAAAGACTTGCATATTGTAAATATTTAGTATTCATCTTCCAGCTTGCGCATATATTCTGCAGAAGCCACTAGTAAAGTTAGTGTTATAGAAGCTAATATGATGTTCTGCATTTTTTTCTCTAACCAGAATAAAAGCAACCCCTTTGACTACATGCTCCAATTTTCCAGTCTAGTCTAGATACATTTTATGCTTTCAAAGTAATATCACTGTGGTTTGCTTCAGAGATATTTAAATTTAACTGAAGGCCACGAAAGCAAATTAATGCAAGGCAAACTGCAGTGAAAGGTAAACAGCTGACTGTTGCTTTTTTAATTTATTTGCTAAAATCACCAAATAGGTCTTGATGAAAGACCCACGTAAGTAGCATAAAGTCTGCTTAAATTCTGAACAACTGTGATTTAATCCTACAGGTATGTAACAGAATTTGTAAACCTAGGCAATGTTTCAGCTCTTCGAACTTTCAGAGTATTGAGAGCTTTGAAAACTATTTCTGTAATCCCAGGTAAGAAGTAACTGGTGTAAGGTGTTAGGTCCCTTGTACCTCCCAACTGTTCCTTTTTATCCTGTCATTGTGTTTGTGTGTGAACTCCCCTATTACAGATATGTGACAGAGTTTGTGGACCTGGGCAATGTCTCAGCGTTGAGAACGTTCAGAGTTCTCCGAGCATTGAAAACAATATCAGTCATTCCAGGTGAGAGCTAGGTTAAACACTGAGGCTGAATTTCATTCCACTGAAGCTCAATTCACATTATTTTAGCACAAGCCTTGTTGCTTGCCAAAAAAAATGGAGAATCATAAGATAACAGAACTGATTCAAATCTATGATTCTTGGCATTTTAACATTAGCTTTTTTCCTTTTGAAATCAGCCTTTGAGTTTAACAAATTCTTGCATGAGACATTGCAATTTATAGCCTGTGTGGTTTGCATCTTATGATGTCAAGCTTTCTTCTCCACATTCAAAAAAAAAAATCAGTAATCCTGAGGTTTTCTTACCCATATGTATTTTACCAATATAATGTAATATGGTATTTACTGTGGATATTTGTTGCTGTGAAAACAAAAATTGTTTGAAACAGTGATTTACTAATGAAGATAAAGGAATAAGATAATAAAGAATAGCATGGGCATTGCATGGGGGATTTATTATCTTAAAGTTCTATCATTTTCCAAACCACCACCAGTTTTATAACTCCAGTTATAACTTTAATAACTTTAATCTTTATTGTTTAAAAAGCCCTTTACTATTGTTTTAACAATGTAGTATGTTATAAAACTGATATTAGCGAAGGTTTGGGACAGGAGGCATTGGCAAATAGTAAAATTTACTATTGGCAAATAAGGAAGGATTTTTTCTTACATGAGATTCATGTAAAACTTGAATAACAAAATCACTTGTTTTGGCATTTAAAACAAGTGTTTTGGAATATGTGCGATTCATTTACATTCACAATTTCAAATGAACATAAACTTTCAGCTATATATTCATCTTCATAAGTGATAAAGCTCTTCACAAAATGTTATTTCACACACATTACAACCATTTATTTGGGCTTCTGCATGACATTTTTAACTTTATTGGTATAAATTGTTACTTCTATGTATTAAATACATGTTGAACATCATCATAAAATTCCTTTCTGTTTTCAGGCTTGAAGACTATTGTGGGAGCCCTGATTCAGTCTGTGAAGAAGCTCTCAGATGTCATGATCCTGACTGTGTTTTGCCTGAGTGTATTTGCACTAATAGGGCTGCAGTTGTTCATGGGCAACTTGAGGCACAAATGCTTGCAGTGGCCTCCAGAGAATTACACTCTGGAAACAAATATTACTTCATACTTTAACAGCACAATAGGGGAAAATGATACATTTGTTAATATAACAATGATTCCATTTGACTGGAAGACATACACTGAGGATGATCGTAAGTATTACTGAATTAATTTTTAATAAATTGTTTGTAATTTAATTTTTTCAAAAGTAGATGGAAGTAAAAATCTATAGATGTTGAACTCAAAGTTGTCAGAGTTAACCCCAATTTAACAGTCTAACCCAAAGTTATCAATGCTATTACTCACACCATGGGACCAGATTTGTCAAAAGGTTAACAAGTGGACATTTCTCAGAACTTCAACAAATGAATGTCATTCTTTTGCCCACTTTTGAATGTTATAATTAATAATTTTAATGATAAATGACATTTTTATCTTTTCTAGAAAATAAGCACATTGAACACAATTCATTGTTTAGCATAAAAATCAGTAATTATCAGTACTATTCACTGTTAAACTGGGTGGTGTGAGTGGAAGTTTTAGAATTCCTCCGTGGTGGCATACTTCTGCACTCATGGAAATCAATCGGAATTTTATCATGGATATTAATGGGAGATGAATGAAGTTAGTGCTGAGCAGTTTTCAAAATCATATTCTATGATTATTAATTTGAGAGGGGGAAAGGGGTTTTTGTGTGTGTGTGCATTTTCTATTCTCTCAATGCCACACCCACCAATCTCAGATTAATGGATTGCTTCTTTTGATAGTATAATGGAGCTGTCAGTCAGTCTCTGTGGTATGAAATGGATTCTCTTTCCCCAGCTCCCTCAACTTTCTTTCAAGGAATGGTTCAAAGCTGTAAAGTACTAACAGTATCCTAGTTTCAGCTGTGATATTAGCTCTTAACAATTTAAAGGAATAATTTTCATTAGGTTCAAGAGGACCTTTTTATCATAGCCAATATTACTGTAATTTTTAATAAAGAGTAAACCTGCTGATCCAAATAATTATAGGCCTTTAAGTCTAACATTGATCCTGAGCAAAATAATGTAATGGCCAATACTGAAGTTGATTAATAAAGAATTAAAGGAGAGTGATATAGTTAGTGCCTGTCAACATGGCTTTACTGAAAATAGATTTTGTCAAACTAACCTGATACGTCTTTTAAAATGAGAGTACAAATGTGGTTGATAAAGGTAATAGTGGGGATGTAATATTCTCAAACTTCTATAAGGCCTTTGTCTTGATATTGTATGACATTTTGATTAAGAAATTGAAATTATATACAGTCATTACTGGATGCATTAAGTGGGTTAAAAACTGGCTAAGAGGTATCAAATATAATTATAGATAGGGAAACATAATCAAGTTGATATATTTCTGATAGGGAGCTGCAGGAATCACTTCTTAGTTCTAGTAGGTGTAACATTTTTATCAATGACGTGGAAGATACTTACTGGATACATACTTACAGGATGTTACTCTGTCCTGGGAGGCAGTGACTTGGAGAGAGAGTTGGGGATACTTAGAGATAATTAGCTGAATAGTAGCTCATCTGAATAAACAGAAAAAGATTAAGTAGAAGGAGGAAGGTCATGTTTCTTCAGTATTGGTCACTGATGCAACTGCTAACGGAATACAATCCACAGTTCTGGTGTTAACAGTTCAAGAAAGGTGTTGATAAATTGGAGAGGATTCAGAGACAAGTCATAAGAATGATTAAAGAATTGAAAAACATTCCCGATACTGAAAGACTAAAAGAGCTCAATTTATTTAGTTCATCAATGAGAGAGTTAAGTGGTGAGTTGATCATAATTTATAGGTATCTACATGGGGTACAAAAATTTGATAATAAATGACTCCTTAATTTAGCAGACAACATTGTAAGAAGATCTAATGGCAGGAAGTTGAAGCCAGACAAATTTAGACTGGAAATAAAGTGTGTGTTTTTAACAATGAGGATAATTTAACCTTTGGAACAAGTTGCCAAAAGTTGTGGTGGAGTTTCCATCACTGGGAACTTTTGAAACTAGATTAGATATCTTTTTGAAAGACACATTCTGATTCAACCAAGAAGGATTTTGGGAAAGTTCGATGTCTTGTTTTATGCAAGAGATCAGATTGGATGATCACATTGGTTCTTTCAGGCCTTATAATATATTTAATTATAAATCCAAATTGTATGATTTCATGTTGGCTGATACAGAAGAGCTGAAGCTTTTAAGGAATCAGGTTATACTAGGATAAGATCCATAAATCACTAAATTTTTCTAAGTGGCTGCAGAATTGCCACTTTATCTTCAGTGTATTTACATGAATGTTCAGGAACAGTTAATAAGGTCCAACCTGCATGCTCATGAAGAAAAATATAGAGGCAAAAGTGGGTGGGTATCGGCATAGAAAGGAAGCTGCCTCCTCAAAAATATTAGTTTGTCTTATGCAAGTGAGTGGGTGGTAATGGAGAGGGGACTCTATAAGAGACTATCTGCTAGCCTGTGCATACATGCTGCTTATGATTTGATGATTTGAGCTCTAGATAAAAATTCTAAAATCTCTAGAAATGTTCCATGTTTTGGAGCTATAGGGTTGTATTCTCTTCACACTTAATCACCAGAGCAAATCAAAGTGTTGAGAACAGTGGAGCTACGCTGCATGAAAAAGAAATCCCTCCTCCTTTTTTTATTAAATGCTGTCTTATATTCCTCCTTCTTCCTTTGAAGAATATGTCCTTGATGTGAGTACTGCTATCATTAGCCATTCTGATGATCGTTATTTTCATTATTTCACTTTCAGTAGCAAAGCCAATACATTTATGGGTCAGTAAATTTAGCATAAAGGAATACTACTCAGATGGAAAATCACAAAGCAGGTCATGTGGATCAGTTTGACATTATTAGAATTGCAAAGTTATTAGATTTATTTCCTAGAAGATGTGTTTTAACAAGGATAGAAAAAATATGCATAGCAGGTGACATGATGAATTTTGGAATTCCTAATTGATTATTAGAGCCCAGTACAAAATAAAGTGGTAGTCCCTATGTGTATTCCACCCATAGGGATACTTGATGTTGAAAAAAATCTTGCAAGTAGTGTCTGTTGATCCATGTCTGCATCTTGGCTCCTCTCGTGTTCTGCACCAAGAATATGAAGGAAGGTACAACCTGACCATCTCTCTGGTTCCTTCTTGATATCACATGGTTTAAATCAGAATCCTCCTTCCACCAAATGTGTCTTTGTCTTTGTAAATATAATTTTAAGTATTTTGTTAGTGGGTTTTATACTTTACTGATAAATCAGGAACAGTACCAGTTCAGGATATGCTTGCTTGTGTGGCAACACCTCCCAGGGTCTTCATCAACGGCACCCAGGGTCTCTATCTTCCAGTGGGGGTAGCACACCTGAGACAAAATGATGACTGATTTCTAAGAGATCTTGCCTAAAAGTTGTGTCAGCAACTTTGTCATTACTTCTTCTCATAGTATCCTTGGTTAAATATGGAAAAGTCTATCCTGATTCTCACGCATAGTATATACCTTATAGTGGTGGCCATGGACTCTGCCACAGCAAGGATCCTTCAACCCTGTGGATGGATAATATGCCATGAGCAGTCTAATAAACCCAGTTATTCACAGACATGAAATACCATTCCGGGTCTGTCTTTCCCTGTTAAGAACACATGTCATTTTACAACCCTATTTGCCAGACTACACCTCTGTTGTCTACAAGCCTGGCTCTAGTCAGTGTATATGCTAGAGAGACAAGCCATGAGCTCTCTAGAAATGACTCATCAGAAGGTCAGGACTTAAGAGGTGATCTTCCACATTGTCCTGGACAGGCCACTTGAAGTATGCCTTCCCTCCCCTCCCTCTATTGTTCAAGATTCTGGGGAAGATTTGTCACAACAAAGCAT